AGAATTCCTGTCATGTCCAAGAAGACGCCTCCTCTTCCACACACACCTGGTGACCGCTACCAGAGGCATATGGACTAGCTCCCTGAAGTCCTGCCTCCCTTCCGAAGTTGCTTTCTCTCCCAAGTCATCAACCGGGGTCAGCATGTCCCAGGACTGCTTGACCCGCTCGAGGCTCCTGCCCTCTGGAAGGACATCCCCGCCTGCCCATTCTTAGGACCCTTCCCCTCTCCTGGTTTAGATGAGGGGCTCCTCCCCAGAGAGTGGGGGTCTCTCCCCATCCACCCAGACTTGTGAGACGGGTCTTGTTGTCCTCTGGATGTCCTTGATAGGCCCAGAATCAGGACACACCGTCAATTTAATAAAGAAAGATAAAGTAGGAACCTTTCAAAGGGCACTGCCTTGCCCAGAGTCCTAAGGGACTTGGTGGCATATAAATTTAATAAATAAAGGTTAAGAAAGGATGCTGCCCATTCACCAATGGGTGCACAGACACCCCCTCTATCTATGTCTGTCTGTCTGTCTGTCTGTCTGTCTGTCTATCTATCCATCCATCCATCCATCTCTATCTCATCCCTTTATCATCTGTCTATCATCTATCCATCTCTCTCTCTCTTTCTCCCTCCCCCCCCTCTCTCTCATATCTCTCTGTCTATATCATCTGTCCATTATCTGTCTGTCTCTCTGTCTATCTCTCTGTCTATCTCTCTGTCTATCTCTCTATCTCTCTGTCTCTCTGTCTATCTATCTATCTATCTATCTATCTATCTATCTATCTATCTATCTATCTATCTATCTATCTATCTATCATCTATCTATCTCTATCTGTCTCATCCCTTTAACATCTGTCTGTCTATCATCTATCTATCCATCCATCCATCCTTCCCTCCCCCCTTCTCTCTCTCTCTTTCTCTCATCTCTCTGTCTATATCATCTGTCCATTATCTGTCTGTCTGTCTGTCTGTCTGTCTGTCTCCACCCACCCATCAGTCCACCCATCCAATTTGAAAATCTTTGCTGCCCTACAGCCATCATTCTCGGATGCCTTTCCTTCCTCACACGGTGCAGAAACCCCTTTCCCATCGGGGACCCTTGCAGGCCTGAAGTCTTCTGCCTCCCCCTTCCATCTCCCAGGGCCGCTCTTGGACAAGGCAGAGCTGAGTAGCTCCATAAGGCCGCCACGTCCTGCATCCAGCCATTTCTCCCTGGCCAAACAAAACGACCTTCTATCCCCCCATCGTTGGTTTGGCTTTAACGTGGAACGTTTGGAAGGGCTCACCGTCCAGGGCTAGTTCGGAACTGGGAAGGCAGGGGGAGCTGCCCGACTGAGGCCAACCTCAGGAAGGGACCCTCCGTGGACGGGGACGCTACAGGCATCTCGCACCTTCAACTCCAACAGCTCTTAGCTGCGCTCCAAAGTCTTCCCAGAACTGCTGGGGCCGATGCCTGCGGGGGAGGGGAGGGGGGGGGGGGGGGAGGGTTGGGGTCCCCCCAGCCTTTGTGTCACTCGGGGTTCCTGCACGCTCCCTGCTCTGCAGAAGTAAACAAACCTGCCCCGGGAAAGACAATAGCGAGCGGGCTCCTTCCTAGATATTTGTTAATTAGGGACATATGTCTCCTAAAGGAACCGTTGTGCAAGCGGGGGGGGGGGGACCTTCTGCTCGCCATCCCCCCCCTTATTAGCATGAAACGAAGGCCATTGGCTCGGGAGCTGTGATGTCACAGGGTGACTTGTAAACTCGGAGCGGTTGGGGATTGTGAGCTTGGTTTGCGATCCCGTCCTTCTGCTGGAAGCGAGTGGGAGGGCAAAAATTCACCGGGAGAAACGTGTGCGGCAGGCGCCCGCGCGCCCCCGGAGCACATCCTCGCTCTCGCTCAGGCCGAAGGAGCCGGAGGCATCGCGGTATTCATTAGGGCGCAGGGAAGGAGGGCCACGGGGAACCCAAAGGCAGGGATTTCCACTTCACGTTCCCAGCGCGGCTGACTTGCCTGGTTGGTTCCGGCCCGGGGTTGGCGCGCATGTGCGCGTGGCAGGGAATGTCACCTTCAGAGGAGGAATTGAAACCCGGTTCCGCTTTCTCTTGAGCCCCCGACCGACCCCCCTCGCCCTCCCCCAAATCTCTGGGCCTGCCAAGGCAGGAGAGACCACCTTCCGAGCTAGAAAGGAGGGAAGGGTAGGAACTGCTGTCTTTGGGGGTCCCGGCTAGGAGCAGGCGCCTCGGATGGCCAGACTGAATCACGGTCTGGCTGCTCTCCGCACCCCTTTTTTCTAGGGGGTCTCTCTCACCCTTCCCCGGGCTGCCTCCCCAACCCCTGCAACCGAAGGCAGACCCCCCCCCCAGAAATTAAGAGGGACTTTAATGGGGCCAGTCGGTGGGTTTCTGAAAGACGCCTCTGCAGAAGGGTCGGCTTGTCTCGGCTCCCCTTGAATTGTGCCCCAAGCAAAGCAACATCCTTCGCTCCCCTTGCGATGTGCCTGTTTCCTGGAACCACACCGGGGTGTGTGTGTGTGTGTGTTTCACTTTCCTTGTCCACGCGCCCAGCGCACAGGCCCAAGCCACGATTAAGCCCTCGTTTCACAGATTGGGTGCCAGGATTTATACCTCACTCCTGTCCGATGAAACAATGGATGTGTTTCCTTCTCTCCACGGTTCTTGCAACTCAGCTATCCCTGAATTCATTGGTGGGGTTTGAGTATGAGTGATTTTATTCAACCTTTGGGTTTATAATCTGCTTCTAAAAACAAATTTAATAATGTAGAAAGTTAGAAAATTATCAGGAAGAAAACCTAAAATACAATCAAACTATAAAAATAGCAGCTTAAAGCTAGCATAGTTACAAAATCAGACTAGTAACATACAGTTTTTAAAAGTTCCAGATGTTAGTTAGTTCCAAAGTTATCAGCCAAAAGTAGAAATGAAAACAACCGACACAAGAAGAACTGGAGAGAGAAATTAGGATAACTGATAGTAAAACACTGGCATGGGAGTTGGCAGATCCGAAGCCATCAAAACAGGGGGCAGGGTCGGGGTTCAGATGCTTGCAGGGGTCCAAAACAACCAGAGGTTAGCAGACTGAGGGCCACTGAAGGAACTGGCCTCTATGTGGTCTGATCCCGGTCTTGAAAAGTTCGCTCAAGACAAACCCAGCATCTTAGATGGAGCTCACAAGCTGCGGGGCGCCAAGGCAAGGTGGAAGAAACACGCTGGTTAAGAAAAACTTTGCTGTGGCTTTGGCCCCGCTGCGCTTCTGGAACCTCTTCAAAGGCAGTTATGCCCACGAGGCGTTGCGTGGCCCCACAGGAGATGCCGAGACTCGGCTGCAACCAAGGGCTCCAACCGCGAGAGGTTTGCCACCTTCCTGACTGCTCCCTCGCTCCTCGGTTACTGACAGCCTCCGGCTCCCGCCCTTGCCTGATCCACAGGCTCTCCTGCACACACACACCCCATCACCTGCTCCGCCCATCCCCCCAGCCCGCTTTCCTTTCCACGAAAGAATAAAAGGCCGCTGTAGTCTCACCTCATTAAAAAGTGAGTGCTCTGCTCCTTTTATCGCACCCCGGAGCGCACAGGTCCTCCCTACGCTTCGTCCAATAAATCATGGCCAGGCAGTCGAATGGGGAGGGGGAGATCACAAAGATCGCCCCCCCCCTACGTTCGCCAGGACTGGTAGACTGAGGCAGGGCGGGCGGGCGGTGGAATCAAGCGAAACTTGCTTCTCTTGGAAGCTGCAAAGGCGGGAGAATTCAAGATCCCCCCCCAACAGGAGGCGGGGGGGGGGGGAAGAGCTAATATTTTGCGCCTCCTCCGCCGCCCCCTCCCACCCGCCTGTTGTCCTTCGCGTTTCCCTCGCAAGCCGAAAAGCAAAAGGCGAGGAGAGGAGGTTTCCAAAAAGATCGCGCAGGAGGCGACTCACAACAGCATCACAAATCGTTCAGTCTCAGCGCTGCTCCCGAGAGATTCCTCTTTTTTTTTTTTTTTTGATGGATTAAATTAAGCGCTTCCATTTCCGTCCACCACCTGATCGCTGCATTATAAATCCGAACAGCTGATCCGCGGATCTCCAGAAATCCAGGCGCGCGCGAGGCACAGGCTGCGGCAGGGAAGGCTGGGAGCTGTCCGGGGCTGGATGAGGGACCCCCGGCCAGCCAGCAAGAACCGCCCCCGCCCCGAAGCGGAGCCGCCGTGCCAATCGCAGCGCACACCCGGGCTCGGAGGCGCGCGCATTCCCCACCCGCGCAGGGGCTGCCGCACTGCAAGAGAGGACCGGCGGCGGCGGGGGGGGACGGGGGGGGCGGACCGGCAGAGGACACCGAGCCCCGGCAAGCCCGCAGCCGCAGCCGTCGCCGGCCGGGCTGGAGGGGCGCGCGGGCGCGGAGAGCGGCCGGCCGGCCGAGCCAGGGAGCCCCGCGAGCGCGCCAGCGGCTGGGCACCGAGCGAAGCGGGCGGCGGGCGGGCCGGCCGGGAGCTGTCCAGGTGCTGACTCCGCCGGCCGCCTCTTATGAACCAGCGCGGCGTTGGCCGTGAGCTCTCGAACTCCTGGGGGGCTCCAGAGGCGAGCTGGAGGGCGAGCGAGCGGCCTGCCGGAGAGGCGCAGCCTTGCCTCGCACAAAAGCCGCCGCCGCCGCCGCCGCCGCCGCCCCAGCTGCGGAAAGGAGGACCGGCGCGGCGCAACCGCCCAGGCTGGAGACCTCCGCGGCCGGCGCCGCTCCCTTCAGGCCTTCGGAAGCAGCAGGAGGCGAAGCAGCCGCAGCGGCGGCAGCCCACAAAGCCATAGTCCCCGCGGCCGGCGACGGCCATCCCCGCCGACCCCCCGCCTCCCTTCCCCGCGGCGGGGTCCTTCTTCCGCGCCTCCTGCCTTTCCCCTGACCCCCCCCCCCCGCCCGCCCCGCGCCGGCTCTTCTCCCTTTCTTTGATCGCCTCCCCCCCCCGCCCCCCCTCCCGCCCGGAACCCCTCGGCGGAAGCTGCGGGAGCCTTCTCACATTCCGGGGGAGTCCAGAACCATGCCCAGATCCTTCCTGGTGAAAAAGGTCAAACTTGACGATTTCCCCTCGGCGGACCTCGAGAATTCCTACAGCAGATCGCGGAGCGACTTCAACTCCCGGATCCATGACAAGGGTGAGGAGGGGGACGCCGCCGCGGGCGGGGGGGGGGGGCGGGGGGGGGGGGGGGGCGCGGGGGGGGGCGGGGGGGGGGGGGGGGAGGGCGGGTGGCCGGGTTCGGAACTCCGAGCCAGCAGGCCGCGAGCATCCCGGCGCGAGCGAGGCAGGGCGCGCGGGGGCGCCGGGCGAAGGGCCGCCGTCTTCCTATTCTGGAATGCCAGAGCCATATTGAGCGCCTCTGCGCCTGCCTGCCTGCCTGCCTGCCTGGCTCGCTGGCGGCGGCGGCGGCGTTGACTGGGCACCTTTGGATGGAAGGCAACCCGGCTAAAATCAGACCTTGCGGGGACGAGGCGCGGGGGCGGCAGGCGCGAGGGATCCGGCTGGGCGAGGGGTAGGAGCGCGGGAGGGGCGAGGAGGGAGGCATTTCGCCGCAGTGGCGCCTGCCTTGCCAGCGGGGCCTTTTGTCTCGCGCGCGGCGAGTCCAACGGGCCGCTCCCCTGGGGCGCGCTCTTGGGGAGGCCTGCCGAGCCCCCCCCCCCCCCCGGAGGCCCCCACCCCGCAGTCCGAGCGGACGATGCCCGCCCTCCGGCCCAGGGAAGCCCCCTTCCCGCTTTTGTTCGGGACAACGCGGCTGCAGCACGTTGCATAATCGCCAGCATTTAGCTGGAGTGGCGGAGGGGGGGCCCGGGTGATTAGCTTCCGCAACGCTGCACCCCTCCCCCCCGCCGATGCCTTTGATCTCCTGCAGAGTTGACCTTGAGGGAGGGGTGGGGGGCGAACAGAGAACGCCCTGCTGCTCTTCCTGGGTCCACCCGCTCCAGGGACAGAGGTTTCCCCCCTCCCGCCCCTCCTGTTCCCCTCCGCGCAGGGGCCGCGGCCCTTTTCTGGCCCAGCAGCCGCAGGTGAACGGGCTGGGAAACCGCGCTAAGGACGGAGGCAGGAGCCGGGGCCTCGGGAAGCACTGCGGATATTGGCAGGAGGCGCCGGCTGGGCGGGCTGGAGGGGGATGCGGGGCACGGGGGCTTCTCGGGATGCCGCTTGTTGCCTCTACTAAGTCCCGGAGGCCTCCATTGCGGACTGATCAGCACCTCTGCCCTCCTTGTGTCTCCCTCCCGTCTTTTCTCTCTGGGCCTCCCTCTCTCTCTCGCCTGTCCCCTCCCCCCTCGCAGGTGGCTACATCAGCGACTACATCGCGCCGTCTTCGGTGTACGAGGGGGAGGGCGAGAACGGCCTCAAGGTGCCCCCGCCGACGGGCGTCATCTACCCGGGGACTCAGCGCGACTCGGACCAGGCCGACAGCCCGCACTCGGCCTTGGCCGGGGGCTACATCAACGGCGACGCGGCGGTGAGCGAGGGCTATGCGGTCGATGCCTTCTTCATCACCGACGGGCGCTCGCGCCGCAAGGCGGCAGTGGTGGGCGGCGGCGGCGGGGCCGGGGCCGGGGGCGCGGGCTCCCGCCTGGGCCAGCCCTCTCCCGCCAGCGGGCAGCCCCCGCCGCCTCCGCCCCCGCCGCAGCGGCACACCTGCAGCGAGTGCGGCAAGACCTACGCCACCTCGTCCAACCTGAGCCGCCACAAGCAGACCCACCGCAGCCTGGACAGCAAAATGGCCAAGAAGTGCCCGACGTGCGGCAAGGTGTACGTCTCCATGCCGGCCATGGCTATGCACCTGCTGACGCACGACCTGAAGCACAAGTGCGAGGTGTGCGGGAAGGCCTTCAGCCGGCCCTGGCTCCTGCAGGGCCACATGCGCTCCCACACCGGGGAGAAGCCCTTCGGCTGCGCGCACTGCGGAAAGGCCTTCGCGGACCGCTCCAACCTGCGCGCCCACATGCAGACTCACTCCGCCTTCAAGCACTTCCGCTGCAAGCGCTGCAGCAAGACCTTCGCCCTCAAGTCCTACCTGAACAAGCACTACGAGTCGGCCTGCTTCAAGGGCGCCGTCCCGCCGCCGCTCAGCCCGCTGGAGGCCTGACGGAGCACAGCGCGGCGCCCGCCTCCTCCTCCTCAGGCTGACCCGCCCCGCCCCGCGAGGCTCCAGGAAAGCGGGCGGAGGCCAGGGGCGGCGCCAAACGCCCAGCGCCTCACCTGGACAGGTAACCCTCCGCCCCCACGCCCCCAGCCGCAGCCTCCCGGCCGCGCTCGCTCCCCTCCCTTTGCTGCTCCCGCGGAACGACGGGACCGACGCCTCCGCCCCTCCCGCGAGCGACCCTCTGTCGGTTCGCCCTCCGCTGGAGGAGGCGTCGGTTGGTTTCCTTCCACGAAGCTGCCGAATTTCTATTTTCCTAAATGTTTACGTTACTTTATTTTGATTTCGCTGTTTTAAGAGAAAAACAAGGACAAGAAAGGTAGAGGTATGTATTTAACTCGGAGGCGGTCTTATTTATTTATTTATTTATTTGTTTATTTATTTGTTTGTTTATTTGCTTACTTAACGAATGTATTCATTTTTCCCCTGTTGGTTTATTGCGCGGGGCAGTGCCCCCTCCCTTCACGTTGCACTTTTGTGTTGGTTTTTAATTATTTTGTTGCTTTTAAAAGCCGAGCCTAATCTTTGCACCGCCGTTGACTTCCAATCCGTACGTTTGTTGCCAAGACTTCTTTACTATGCCAAAGTCTACGTCACTTTTTGAAGGGGGGGGGGGATGAGGAAATCAGGACTGGCCGTTATTTGATTTTGTTTTTCCTTCTTTTGGTTTTGCTCCCCCCCCCATTCCGGGTTGGGGCGAGGGTGGGGGGGAATGATCGCCATCTTTCTAACGCAGGATTTTTTGCATGCAAGAAGAAATGTATTTAAATCTATGCCAATTTGATGATGCTTTTTAAAATGATGATGATGATGATGATGGATTTTCATTTGTAACACTTTACATCACTTTGTTTTTCTTTGCCAAACTTTTAGATAATAATAGTCTATTTGAGGGCAATATTCTCCTACTGAACTAATAGAAGCAATAATTAACGTAATGCATGTTATTTTTAAGACAATAGTAATACTGAGGAATCAGGTAACTTTTAATTCAACTTCTTAATAGCAACGGATATCAGGGACTTTGCCAGTGTAGTGAACTCGAGTTAATGAGGCGAACCTTCCTTCTCTTCTTCTTCTTCTCTTGTCTTTTAATGAATGCACACTGCCTGCCTTCTTCGACTTTCTTCCGAGTAGCTTAGTCAAGTCTCTGGGCTTGTAGCGCTTGCCTGGCCGGAGAAATACGAGCAACACCCCACCCGAACCCCCGTCCTCCTTGGGGCCCCCCTTGGGGCCTGTCCCCGTGGCTTTCAGGCCCTGTCAGCCCACGCTCTGCCTCCGAGGGGGGAGAGAGCGTGGGATGCAGCCCAGCAGGGATGGGGGACTCTGTGTTCCCCGTCTCAAACCCCCCCGCCCCCGCTTCCTGCCAGGGTCTCCCCCAGCGCCAGAGCCTGCACCCAACAGGTGCCTTCCGCTCCATCGGTGGGCAGAAGCAGCCGCGGGGACGACTCTCCGGCTCTCCCCAGGGTCGGGTTTGCCTCCCGGTCAGCTGCTGGGTCGCTGGTGGCTCCGGCTGTCCGCCCCCCCCCCCGTAAGGCTTGGCCCTCTGGCGCGGCCGCCTCTTCCTCTCCTCCCGTCTCCCCGCAGGAACCTTCCGCCCACGTCACGGGCCTGCGGGGGAAGGGCGACTTATCCCGAAGACATTGCCTTCCGTTAAGAACATTAAGCCACCCCCCACCCCACCCCCCGAAAGCCACGAGGAAACACCCCCCTCCCCCCACTCTAAGCACTATTTCCCCTGTAGGTCTTTCCATTTTATGAATAACTTAAGAAAACTAAACAGCACAAAAGAATAAAAAAATACCTTAATAGAAATCAGGTAGAAGGAACTTGTATTAGCTAGCACCTCCTGTTTTTTGTACTTAAGATAATTAATGATGCTACTAGAACGATGACTTCTAATACTAATATTGCTATTAATACTCCCTCTTGCTGATACTGACTTAAAAAGGGAAAACGACGCGGATGCTTTGTAAATACCGTTTGGAAATTTACATGATTTTTTTACAAGCTGTTAAAAAGAATATTCTGAGCCTGTTTGTGGTGGGGAGGGAAAAGAAAAGAAGCGAAAACCGACACACTTTTTCCCCGGGGAGAAAAGACGGACTATCCACAGAGCGGAGAGGAATGGCGAGGATGCGAGAGAGGATGTTGGAGGCAGACGCTGAGCGGTGGACCAGTAAAGCACAATTCGCACACCGTGTCCTGCAGCATTTCACAATAATAAGAATCATAATAATAAAAAAGAGAAGATACTCTTGTAGTACACCCGGCCTGGCGCCTTCTTCCTCCGCGCGAGCGAGCCTACTCTGCGGGAGGGGGTGGGTGGGCTTGCTCTCTGCACATGCTCCGAGCATCGTCGAGC